GAATGCTTGATGAGCTTGAAGCTACATTTCTTACACTCACATATAAATAATTTTCTCAAAAATTTTAGAAGACTATACAGTTACACTACCGTCCGAAATTGTGCGAACTCTGCTTTTTCAACAACTATAAAACTGTTCAAATCTTCAAAAATATTAAAAATAAAATTTTTTCCTCTTTATTTTATTAAAGTTAATAAAATTCTGAAAGAAATGACACCTTGACAAAGAGAATATGTTAATTTTTCAATTAGATATCTAAGAAAAACCCAATTTTCAATGTTTTTACTATTTTTTTTATTTCTCTGGCAAAAATTAATATTTTTAAACGTTCTTAGGCTCATTGAAGTCGTATTTTGTAATGCAATTCAAATTATATAAAACAATTCATGTACACATTCTTCCCTAGCGTATGCAAACCGTCAAAGTTGGCTCATAAAATGTCAAAAAATTTAAATTTAATTCTACAATAAAATATAATGTTTAAAAATCAAGTAAATATATCATTCTAAAGTTCTCTGATTTATGTAAGTAAATTTAAGATTTATACATTTTACTGATCATTTTTTGTCATATAAATATTAATCACAATTTTTTGAAATTTTATGAGCCAACTTTGACGGTTTGCATACGCTAGGGAAGATTATGTACATGAATTGATTTATATAATTTGAATTGCATAACAAAATACGATTTCAATGAGCCTAAGAACGTTTAAAAATATTAATTTTTGCCAGAGAAATAAAAAAAATAGTAAAAACATTGAAAATTGGCTTTTTCTTAGATATCTAATTGAAAAATTAACATATTCTCTTTGTCAAGGTGTCATTTCTTTCAGAATTTTATTAACTTTAATAAAATAAAGAGGAAAAAATTTTATTTTTAATATTTTTGAAGATTTGAACAGTTTTATAGTTGTTGAAAAAGCAGAGTTCGCACAATTTCGGACGGTAGTGTAGGAATAGTGAGAATAATTTCATAAAGATATTAAAGAAATGACGCAATGTTTTCAAGGAAGATGAGAGGTAAATATGATGAGTAGATATACTGTGCCGGTTCTGGACCAATTGGTATTGTATCGGTGTGAGTCAATGTGTGTAGGTGCGTGTCCGTGTGATAGGCCAGGGCTGTGCCATTAAAGGGGGATTTGCGGGTCGGCGTAATAATCGCCGTAAGTATGTAGCGGAGATGCGGGGGGGGATTTGTTTTTAAAAAAAGTATTTGGGAAAGGAGGAGGGGGGGGATATTCTGAAAAACAATTCTCAGAAATATTTTTTTTTTCAAATAAGATGACTAATTTATATACATATTTCGTTTTCTTTTTTATTAATTGTACGATTCACGCAGTTTTTTTTCTGAAAAAAAAGTCAAAGTGGAAGTGGTAAGTATAAAATTTCATTTTGATAATATAAATAAAATTAAATAAAATGTGTAGTGAGTTGTTTGGTTTGTTTATTTAAAAATCCATTTATTATCATAATTTGCTTTATTAGCTTTCGCCTGCCAACGGTAGGCCTCTTCAGACATATTATCTAAATGTAATTATAAAATTTTTATGTTACATAAAGGAAACAGTGTGTGACTTAGTATTTTATTATATAAAAAGGTAGAATTGATGTTCAGTTAAAAGTAATTTCGTTTGAAATTTGAAAGGTTAACCTCAAAAATATTTATGTATAATTTTTATTATTATCGAAAAATAAACTTACCAAGAGGGTTTCCTCATTAATATTTTTTAATTATCCTTATTTATAAATAAATTATTAATTATCAAGAACATGATTGTTCTTGATAATATTTATAATATTTTAATGGAGATAAGTGAGTGGAAATGAGTTTGTCACATTTTTAAAGGTACAATTAGAGAATTGGAGAATTACTAATATATATTAATCGTTATATGATTAAGAAGGTATCTATATGACCGACTTAAATTGAACGAAAATTTAAATTTGAAAATTTCTTTATTAATCAGTGCTGAGAATCAGAGAGTGATAAATTTCATTTAAATTATTTAAATCAGTTTGTTTATTTACGGAATTTTGAGTTTTAAGAATGTAAAACATTTCTCTGAATTTTCTACGCTTAAGTTTTGTTTCATTACATATAATGCTTGTATCATCGAATTTAAAAATATGATCATTTTCATGTGAATGAATTACAAGGGCGGATTTTCTATTGTCATACTTGCAATCTCTTTTATGTTCATTTATTCTGTCTTTAATATATCTTTCTGTCTCACCAATGTAGGATGCTCCACATTGGCATGGAATGTGATAAACTACGTGATTTTTGAATAAAAAAGGTGTAGGATCTTTATTTTTTATGAAAATTTTAAAGGGGTCCTTATCATAAGTGAAAACGACTCTAATATTATGTTCATTATATAATTTTTTAAAAGAAGAATGTAACTCATTTACGTAAGGTAAAACTACTAAATTAGAAAAATCAAATGGTATTTTATTAGTATTATTATCATCATTAATAAATAAATTTTCAAAACGTTTATTAATATATTTTGTTAAGAAATTTTGTGGATAATCATTTTCTATTAAGATATTGTATATAAAATTTAGGTTATCAGTATAGAATTTAATATCTGAAAGTTTAATTGCTCTATCTACTAAACCATAAATTATAGAAATTTTGTCTTTAATAGAAGCATTAGAATTAAAATTTAAGTATTTACCAGAGAAAGTATCTTTATGGTGCCAATTTGTAATAATAGAATCGTTCTCCCTAATGAGAAGGGTATCTAAAAAACTAATTTGTCCATTGTTTTCAATTTCAATGGTGAATTGTAAATTCTCATTATATCCGTTAAAGGTGTTTAATAGTTTATTGACATTGTTTTTATGAATGCATATAATAATGTCATCCACATATCTAAAATAAAAGATATAACGAAAGTCCAACTTCTTCAGAACATCATTTTCAAGTTTCTCCATTACTAAGTCGGCAATAACACCAGACAATGGAGAACCCATTGGGGTTCCAAAGGTTTGTTTATAAAACACATCATTGAAACAACAATAAGCATTTTCAATACAGAAATCCAAAATGTCTAAAAAAATATTATCAGGCATTTTTGTGTGTTCTCTAATGTATTTCCATTTTAATTTGACGCATTTTAAAACCAATTGTTTTGGAATATTAGTAAATAATGACTTTACGTCTAAAGAAACCAATATAAAGTCATCGGGAATTTTGTAATGTTTAATTTTTTTACAAAATTCGAAACTATTTTTTATATGAAATTCGGTTTTTCCAATAATCTTTTTAATAGGATTACTTATAAATTTTGACAAGTTATATGTAGGAGATCCACAGAAAGAAGTGACTGGTCTCATAGGTATTTGTGTTTTGTGAATTTTTGGTAGTCCGTAAAATTTAGGTGCCAATGAGGTGTCAATAAACTATTAAACACCTTTAACGGATATAATGAGAATTTACAATTCACCATTGAAATTGAAAACAATGGACAAATTAGTTTTTTAGATACCCTTCTCATTAGGGAGAACGATTCTATTATTACAAATTGGCACCATAAAGATACTTTCTCTGGTAAATACTTAAATTTTAATTCTAATGCTTCTATTAAAGACAAAATTTCTATAATTTATGGTTTAGTAGATAGAGCAATTAAACTTTCAGATATTAAATTCTATACTGATAACCTAAATTTTATATACAATATCTTAATAGAAAATGATTATCCACAAAATTTCTTAACAAAATATATTAATAAACGTTTTGAAAATTTATTTATTAATGATGATAATAATACTAATAAAATACCATTTGATTTTTCTAATTTAGTAGTTTTACCTTACGTAAATGAGTTACATTCTTCTTTTAAAAAATTATATAATGAACATAATATTAGAGTCGTTTTCACTTATGATAAGGACCCCTTTAAAATTTTCATAAAAAATAAAGATCCTACACCTTTTTTATTCAAAAATCACGTAGTTTATCACATTCCATGCCAATGTGGAGCATCCTACATTGGTGAGACAGAAAGATATATTAAAGACAGAATAAATGAACATAAAAGAGATTGCAAGTATGACAATAGAAAATCCGCCCTTGTAATTCATTCACATGAAAATGATCATATTTTTAAATTCGATGATACAAGCATTATATGTAATGAAACAAAACTTAAGCGTAGAAAATTCAGAGAAATGTTTTACATTCTTAAAACTCAAAATTCCGTAAATAAACAAACTGATTTAAATAATTTAAATGAAATTTATCACTCTCTGATTCTCAGCACTGATTAATAAAGAAATTTTCAAATTTAAATTTTCGTTCAATTTAAGTCGGTCATATAGATACCTTCTTAATCATATAACGATTAATATATATTAGTAATTCTCCAATTCTCTAATTGTACCTTTAAAAATGTGACAAACTCATTTCCACTCACTTATCTCCATTAAAATATTATAAATATTATCAAGAACAATCATGTTCTTGATAATTAATAATTTATTTATAAATAAGGATAATTAAAAAATATTAATGAGGAAACCCTCTTGGTAAGTTTATTTTTCGATAATAATAAAAATTATACATAAATATTTTTGAGGTTAACCTTTCAAATTTCAAACGAAATTACTTTTAACTGAACATCAATTCTACCTTTTTATATAATAAAATACTAAGTCACACACTGTTTCCTTTATGTAACATAAAAATTTTATAATTACATTTAGATAATATGTCTGAAGAGGCCTACCGTTGCCAGGCGAAAGCTAATAAAGCAAATTATGATAATAAATGGATTTTTAAATAAACAAACCAAACAACTCACTACAAATTAATTATCCAAACAAATTAACAACCTAACTACAAATTTATGATTATATCATCCATATTACACGGCAAAAAAACTTTTGCTCTTTACACAAGGATGCATATTGTGTTGACATAACACGAAGGAATTATAATGAAGATTAAATAACTACACCAGTATTTTTACACAAATTAATAATTAAAACATTAAAACAACAAAATTTGGACATAAAAAATTAGACAGGATTCTCACTATTTTATCGACTACAATATTGTTAAAATAAATTGGACCATATACAATTATATATTAAGATGACTTCAAACAATATTGGTTTTTTCAACAACATCAGAAAAAGTTATGGAAATCTCCCTGTTAAACTTATGAAGAGATGGATAAACATTTCTAAACGTTTAGCAAGATTAAAAAACCGAAATCGCTACTTACTAAGATGTAAATCAAGTGGGTTTCTTCCTTCTCATTTAATTAATTTAAAAACAGAATTATCTTTCGATAATCTTTCTTCTAACAAAATTTTTAACAATAATACCTTTAAATATAAAATCAGTGCTTTGAACATTGAGATTAATGATATTAATATTTCTATACCACATTTGCAATATACTTTAAATACACTAAAAAATAAAAAAATTTTTAATTTAATTGATAATGAAAATTTTAAAAATTTTTTCAAAATTCAAGAATTATTCTTGGATAAATTTGAAAAACAACTCATCAGAAAAAGTATTTTAAAATTCAACTGGTTAACAAAAAAATTCTATACATTTCATTTTAATAAAAAACCAAATCCAAAGTGGATAAAGAACTTATCGGACACAAATATTCCAAATGACGTATCTTATTTCCTTAGTTTGGGAGAAAAGTTTTATATCAATCCCACTAATAAATCTAAAGTTATCGAGAATACCCTAACAATGGCTGAAGAAAAAATTAACCTTATTTTTGAAAATAAAAGAGATGCTTTCAGAAGCAAATTATCTAATATTTTACAAGATTATTTACTTAAAAATTATAATATTTTAATAAATCCACTATACAATAATATAATTAAAAAAACACAACAATTCTTTAAAGAACATAATAACTTAGTTATTTGCAAAGCCGATAAAGGCAATGTTACAGTGATTTTAAATAAAAATGATTACCTTGAAAAATGCTTACATTTACTAAATGATAAAAAAATTTACTCACCCCTAAAAAAGGACCCAACTCAAATTATACAACGAAACTTAAATAATAAAGTTGATTTGCTTCTGAAAAAATCATATATAAACTGCCCCATGTCGAGACACTTAAAATCATATAACTCATTGGCACCTAAATTTTACGGACTACCAAAAATTCACAAAACACAAATACCTATGAGACCAGTCACTTCTTTCTGTGGATCTCCTACATATAACTTGTCAAAATTTATAAGTAATCCTATTAAAAAGATTATTGGAAAAACCGAATTTCATATAAAAAATAGTTTCGAATTTTGTAAAAAAATTAAACATTACAAAATTCCCGATGACTTTATATTGGTTTCTTTAGACGTAAAGTCATTATTTACTAATATTCCAAAACAATTGGTTTTAAAATGCGTCAAATTAAAATGGAAATACATTAGAGAACACACAAAAATGCCTGATAATATTTTTTTAGACATTTTGGATTTCTGTATTGAAAATGCTTATTGTTGTTTCAATGATGTGTTTTATAAACAAACCTTTGGAACCCCAATGGGTTCTCCATTGTCTGGTGTTATTGCCGACTTAGTAATGGAGAAACTTGAAAATGATGTTCTGAAGAAGTTGGACTTTCGTTATATCTTTTATTTTAGATATGTGGATGACATTATTATATGCATTCATAAAAACAATGTCAATAAACTATTAAACACCTTTAACGGATATAATGAGAATTTACAATTCACCATTGAAATTGAAAACAATGGACAAATTAGTTTTTTAGATACCCTTCTCATTAGGGAGAACGATTCTATTATTACAAATTGGCACCATAAAGATACTTTCTCTGGTAAATACTTAAATTTTAATTCTAATGCTTCTATTAAAGACAAAATTTCTATAATTTATGGTTTAGTAGATAGAGCAATTAAACTTTCAGATATTAAATTCTATACTGATAACCTAAATTTTATATACAATATCTTAATAGAAAATGATTATCCACAAAATTTCTTAACAAAATATATTAATAAACGTTTTGAAAATTTATTTATTAATGATGATAATAATACTAATAAAATACCATTTGATTTTTCTAATTTAGTAGTTTTACCTTACGTAAATGAGTTACATTCTTCTTTTAAAAAATTATATAATGAACATAATATTAGAGTCGTTTTCACTTATGATAAGGACCCCTTTAAAATTTTCATAAAAAATAAAGATCCTACACCTTTTTTATTCAAAAATCACGTAGTTTATCACATTCCATGCCAATGTGGAGCATCCTACATTGGTGAGACAGAAAGATATATTAAAGACAGAATAAATGAACATAAAAGAGATTGCAAGTATGACAATAGAAAATCCGCCCTTGTAATTCATTCACATGAAAATGATCATATTTTTAAATTCGATGATACAAGCATTATATGTAATGAAACAAAACTTAAGCGTAGAAAATTCAGAGAAATGTTTTACATTCTTAAAACTCAAAATTCCGTAAATAAACAAACTGATTTAAATAATTTAAATGAAATTTATCACTCTCTGATTCTCAGCACTGATTAATAAAGAAATTTTCAAATTTAAATTTTCGTTCAATTTAAGTCGGTCATATAGATACCTTCTTAATCATATAACGATTAATATATATTAGTAATTCTCCAATTCTCTAATTGTACCTTTAAAAATGTGACAAACTCATTTCCACTCACTTATCTCCATTAAAATATTATAAATATTATCAAGAACAATCATGTTCTTGATAATTAATAATTTATTTATAAATAAGGATAATTAAAAAATATTAATGAGGAAACCCTCTTGGTAAGTTTATTTTTCGATAATAATAAAAATTATACATAAATATTTTTGAGGTTAACCTTTCAAATTTCAAACGAAATTACTTTTAACTGAACATCAATTCTACCTTTTTATATAATAAAATACTAAGTCACACACTGTTTCCTTTATGTAACATAAAAATTTTATAATTACATTTAGATAATATGTCTGAAGAGGCCTACCGTTGGCAGGCGAAAGCTAATAAAGCAAATTATGATAATAAATGGATTTTTAAATAAACAAACCAAACAACTCACTACAAATTAATTATCCAAACAAATTAACAACCTAACTTAAATAAAATGTGTTTGTCATATTTCTTTTTTTTTCTTTACTAATGCGTTATAAAATATTTCTCGATAAAGATACGTATATAAATATATAAATTTTTTTTTTAAGATGTGTTTTTAAAAAGTGATTTAAGTGGTGGGGGGTCTTCTATAAATTGTGTGTTAAATATATTGTAAGAATCATTTCTTGTTGAAACATTGAAGTCATTAGTTAAAAAAAAATTACAGAATAATGGATTCGAAGCTTTGTAAAACATTTGTGACTTGTGCAAAAGAAGCTTATGAGCTTATTTGTCATAGAGAAGATGGACCATGCCCCGTAGAGTGTAAACAATTAATTAAATTGAATAAACGTAGTATATATAAAGTGAAAAAATATTTTCGAGAGAACAGAGAAAATTTACATGTGCATGAAAAACGTAGTGTCATTGCATCTTTATCATTATTAAAAGCATTTGGAAAGAAATTTCAACAATTGTTATTGGAAAAAAGTGGTGGACGTTTGGCGGCTACTAGAGAAGAAGAGAAAGAGGATGAAAAAGAAGATGATGATGATGATGATGAGGAGGAGGAGGATGAGAGTGATAATCGAATCAAGTGGCAAAATTTAGAGAATGCTTTTGAAAATCGAATTAAAACTGGTTCAATAGTTAATTTAAAACATAAAGATGTGAAACATTTTTTGGAGGATGCAAAATTAGTTACAATTAAAAAAGTGAAGGAAAATTTAATTCAGCATTTAAATTTAAAGGTAAATGTAAATTTTTATGGTAAATTTGAAAGTTTAAAGGAAGGAGAAATGATTGATGATATAAAGCATGTTAGTACAAAAAATTCAATTCTTTCTCTCACTACCGATTTAGATGATTGGTATAATAATGAAGTGAAAGATAGTGTATTAGTGGAAATTGAGGAATTTCAAGAAAAAGAATCTGGTTGGAGTTTAAAAGAAATTATAAATTTAGTTGTAAATATCAATAGATATGACGCATTTTTAGTGAGATACTCCACTTATACTGATTTACCTAAATTTATTAAAAATAAAAAAGCTGTAATTAACATTGAAAATAATGATCCTTTTTGTTTTCTTTGGTGTGTAACAGCAGCTTTAAATCCTGCAAGAGATCATGTAACTCGCACTGAGTCATATCCTCACTATAGTCACATATTAAAATACAATGATATTAAATTTCCAATTAGTTTAAATGATTTAAATAAATTTGAGAAATTAAATAATTTAAGAATTAATGTTTATGGGTTAGATGAATGCAATGATAATAGAAGAAGAAAAACAGTAGATATTGTTCCGATTTATTTGAGTAAAGAAAATCCAAATTTTAGATTAGTACATTTATTAATGATTGAAACAGAAGAAAATAATAACGATGATGATGATATAAAAACTATATATCATTTTGCATTAATAAAAAATCTTTCACGTTTAGTTAATTCACAGGTAACGAAAAATCAGCACTGTATTTTAATATGTGATCGTTGTTTATGTCATTTTGTTAAAGTATGCTCATATGAAAGACATAGATTGTCTTGTGAAAAAAAACAAGTGTAGAGTAATTTTGCCTAATAAAGAAAATAATATTTTAAAATTTAAAAATTATCGCTATAAAGATAAGGTTCCTTTTGTAATATACGCAGATATTGAATGCCTATTAGAGCCAATTACAGAGACAGACACAAATACATGTAATCTTCAAAAGCATATCCCAACCAGTGTTGCTTATTATTTACATTGTAGCTTTGATGAGTCACTTTCAAAAACAAATCTCTATCGTGATCATGACTGTATTCAATGGTTCATTAATGAATTAAAAAATATTGCCAACAATGTAAATGAGAAATATTTTTCAAAAATTATCCCTATGAATAAATTAACTAAACAAGAGGAATTAGATTTTCAAAATGCTAAATTGTGTCATATTTGTGAGAAACCTTTTCAAAATAATGATGATGATTTTAAACACCGTGATCATTGTCATTTTACTGGTAAATATCGTGGTCCAGCTCATCAAAGCTGTAATGTAAATTTCAAATTCTCTCATATTATTCCTATTGTTTTTCATAACCTATCTGGTTATGATTCACATTTTTTTCTTCGAGCTATTGCGACTGGTTTTGATGGAAATATTAGTTTATTACCTATTAATAAGGAAAAATACATTTCATTTACAAAAGACGTTGATAATACAAAAATAAAATTTCGATTTATTGACTCTTTTCGATTTATGGCAAGTAGTTTGGAAAAATTAGCGTCCTACTTGACTGATAATGAAAAACAAATTACAAAACAGCATTGTCTTAATGATGAAGAATTTCATTTATTAACCCTTTAATGGCCGAGTTTTTTGTCGTTACTTTAGACTTATAATGTATATTAGATTTAATTACTAAAGTATTCAGTACGAAAAAAATTTTTTTTTAACATGTCTCACTCCTTAAAACCACCCCCACGGTACATTACTACCCCAAAAAACTGATATTTAACCAAATTGATGAATTAAATATTTTTCAGCTCTTATCTACTTTTTAATTATTTATAAACATTGCCTGGTTGCTTAAAAATTAAAAACGATCAATAACCCCTTGAAAACACCCTTAAAGTCAAATAATCATCCCTTGACGGTGAAAGTTTTTGTTAATGATTAAAAAAAATCTATAGATTCTAATTGCTTCTAAATTATAAACAATAATTTGAAAATTACACAGACATAGATAATAATAATAATAAACTCACCCCCTACCCTTGAAGCCCACCCCTAATTCATAACTATTCTCAGTTTGGAAGAATCAAAAAAATAATTTTCACTGATTTTCGAAAATATGAAAAAAAAAAATTTTTCTATGATAACTAAGTATTAATACTGAATATAAACAACTCCTGAAAAACAACCCTAAAGTCAAATAATCACCCCTTAATGATAAATGTTTTTGTGAATAAATGAAAAAATTATATGGATTCTAAGTGCTTCTGAATTGTAAAAAAGTATTTCAATGTTTCACAGATATGGATAATAATAATAAACTCACCCCCTACCCATGAAATATACCCCTAATTTATAAGTTATGAGATACTGAATTCAGTTTTCAACAATCAAAAAAATAATTTTCACTGATTATTATCATATTGAGTAATGCATTGAGTGCATACTCAATGCACTCCCCTCCACGATGGCGTAGAGGGGAGTGCATTGCGTAAATGAAAGAGGGGGGTACGACAGTAGCAAAGAAGCTCCCATGTGGAACTGCTGTTATAAGCCAATCAGCGCATCGTTTCGTTTCCTCTGTGTAGCGTTCTCCCACTACCTCACCGATTGAGCCTGGGTCTGTAATTTTCATTTTCATACTAAACTCCTAACAACAGGCACTAAAAGCTACAAAATTAATAGGCAATAATGACACCAGCATTATTTTGCAATTTTAAAAACTGACATCATATTCGTAATTATCGACCCCGAAAACCCCTGAGTAATACGTTTCAGATGCATCTAATGAAAGTTAATCATTTCGTCCGCCATATTGGATCCGCCATTTTCAATTTTCTAAATCTGATATCGGATTCGTAATCAGCGACCCCGAAAACCCCCCAAGTGACAAGTTTCACATGAATCTAGTGAATTTTTATAATTATCGGTCGCTATTTTGGTTCCGCCATTTTGAATTTTTGAAAACGGACATCGGATTCGTAATCAGCGACCCCGGAAACCCCCGAGTGATAAGTTTCAGGCGAATGTAGTAAATTTTTATATTTATCAGTCGCCATATTGGTTCCGCCATTTTGAATTTTTGAAAACGGACATCGGATTCGTAATCAGCGACCCCGAAAACCCCCGAGTGATAAGTTTCACGCGAATGTAGTAAATTTTTATAATTATCGGTCACCATTTTGGTTCCGCCATTTTGAATTTTTGAAAACGGACATCGGATTCGTAATCAGCGACCCCGAAAACCCCCGAGTGATAAGTTTCACGCGAATCGAGTAAATTTTTATAATTATCGGTCGCTATTTTGGTTCCGCCATTTTGAATTTTTGAAAACGGACATCGGATTCGTAATCAGCGACCCCGGAAACCCCCGAGTGATAAGTTTCACGCGAATGTAGTAAATTTTTATAATTATCGGTCGCCATTTTGGTTCCGCCATTTTGAATTTTTGAAAACGGACATCGGATTCGTAATCAGCGACCCCGAAAACCCCCGAGTGATAAGTTTCACGCGAATCTAGTAAATTTTTATAATTATCGGTCGCCATTTTGGATCCGCCATTTTGAATTTTTTAAAACGGACATCGGATTCGTAATCAGCGACTCCGAAAACCCCCGAGTGATAAGTTTCACGCGAATCTAGTAAATTTTTATAATTATCGGTCGCCATTTTGGATCTGCCATTTTGAATTTTTTAAAACGGACATCGGATTCGTAATCAGCGACCCCGAAAACCCCCAAGTAACAATTTTCAAGCGATATTATTAATTTTTAAAGGTTTTGGTTTTTAGGGGTAGTTTTAGTTATTTTTCTGCACCCTCGGGTTGAATTTTTAATATTAATTTTTTTTACAAAGGTTACAATATTTTTAAACATATGTTACTATGAAAGCCTGAAAAAAAAATCTCTTCTGAAATTTATACCTGTTTTTTCATTTTTCTCATTTTTCGGGTTTTTTGAAGGGGTGTATTTCAAAGAGGGTAAATTTTAAAAAAAAATACATGTATTTACATTTGTTACTCTATCCCTCCCCTTCAAAATGAGATCCTAATGGAGTTAATCGATTAAGTTTTAAGAAAGTTATGATTTTTTGAAGTAGGTGGGACGTACGTGTCCCACTGGCCATGAAAGGGTTAACGAGAAAAGGTGTATTCCCATATGAATACATTAATGCATGGTCACGCTTAGATGAAGAGTGTCTTCCTTCAAGAGAATCATTTTTCTCGAATTTGAACAATTTAGGTATTTCAGATGAAGATTATCTTCATGAACAAAATGTATGGGAAAC